GTATTCATCACATTTGCACGAAGCTTTATTCATTACCCCTTTCAAAACTTTACTATCTGTACAACTTATGTTTGGAGACCACTGATACTAACCCTCATTCAAACAAATACAGACATACAGCTATCATTTCGGATATTGCAAGTCACATACTTTTCAAACCAGTTCGCATTGGAAAAGATGAAAAGAAGAAAAGACCCTTTCTTAAACTTTCCTTTGCCAACAAAGGTCTCGATTCCATCAACTTGGCCAATATCCTTCATTATAAATTAGTTCAATCGAAAATACCTCCCTTTTTTAAAGATCAGACTGTACCTATCATTTCTTATACCTATACCTATACCAAACCAATTGCAACTAAAATTTTCAATTACAAACACGTGTTTCTCTCAATATTGACGACTTTAAGTCTAAACCCCTTGACTACACCTGTGCTAGTTCCCAATTCATATATTATCCGGCTGGTCATGTTATTACCGGTGACCTAAAAATTGTCAATAACACTTATCTGCGAAATGTGTTATCCAAATTAAGACCCGAAATATCGTGAGCCTAAATCCATCAATTGGAAACACAACTTCAAAATACTGATGGATTCAGTCGAGCATTATGCCAGGCAATGGGCTAAACGCGAGAAAGAATACGAAGGTACTCTTTCCGAATGGATTAAGGCTGTGAGGTCGTTAATACAAATCAGAATTAAGAAACTGAATTGGTCTATCATTATCCATGCTACATCAATTTTTAAAGACCCAAATGTTGCAAAACACTTGTCCCACCTCTATGACAAATATGTTGTGGTCCCCGCAGGTAAACGCCCAAACAACATCTTTTTTGTGTGTAAATCACATTACATAAACTGCTTGATAAATGAATTAGGTATTGACAATTCACTTGGAAACTCATCATATGCGTACGCCCACGACACTTACTAACGAGGAAATCCTGAATAATCATAGGTCTGTTCTATGTTCCTTTGGAATTTAGACCAAAGATGAAGAACTGGATCTTCCAGCACTGTATTGGATACTAAACTACATAAGTGTCCTTACAAACAACGATATATTGCTAGGTCTTCCAAGTGCTCCACGAAACCTCTTTCTGAAATATTAACATTAATTTTATCAACAATCAAGGTTATTGTGAAACTACCTATTATGGAGGTGACGTGAATCAGATGTGGATACTACAAAAAATAAAAGATCTTAAAGAGCACATACAATCTAAGTCACTTTCATCTTGCAATAGTACTAAAACATTTGACTTTTCTACACTTTACACAAGTGTTCCATAACAAAAGAATGGCTAACGTAGATACAAGTATCTTGTCTTAGGGAGGGCAAAATCCTACTTTGTAAAAAATCACTCTGATTCTAACAACAAATTTTCTGAAACTGACATTATCAACATGCTTAATTTCTTGATTGATAACATATTTGTTACGTTTAGAGTACGTGTTTTTCAACAAACAAACGGCATTCCCATGGGAACAAACTGTGCCCCTCTTCTTGCCGAATTGTTCATTAATTCATATGAGGCTGACTTCAAACATGAACTTCCTGTTAGCAGTATCCTTTAACTTTATTTTCCGTTATATAGATAATGTTCTCTCACTAAAGATTTTCAAAATTTGGTGACTATTTTGAAAGAATCTATCCCATCAAACTTTAAGATAAAGGATACTACAGATACAGTTAAGTCTGTATCATATCATTGACTTAAATCTAGAAATTGACAATGCAGGTCAGTTGAAAACAAAACTTTACGACAAAAGAGATGATTTCAGATTCCCAATTGTGCACTTTCCATTGCCATGTAGCAATATTCCAGCAGCGCCTGTAAACGGAGTATGTATCTCCCAGTTGGTACGATATTCCAGGGCTTGTATTGCCTATCATGATTTCCTTGATAGAGTGTTGCTGCTCACAAGGAAGCTATTGAACCAAGAGTTCCAAGTGGTGAAGTTGAAGTCATCCCTTCGTAAGTTTTACGGACGCCATCACGAGTTGGTTGACCGTTATGGAATATCCGTTTCACAGATGATAACGGATATCCTGAATAATCATAGGTCTGTTCTATGTTCTCAATGCTCTTCAACTTTGTACTTGTTTGACTATATAACTATTTTGATCTGAACGTCACTGATGAGTCTTATGTAGATGTAACGAGCGTCTGGCGTATTAAATTATAATCCTGGTACCTTTGATAACTATATATATGTTCCTTATGTCGTAATTACAATGCCGTACCCTTTTTCCCGAATGTGACCTACCGAATTAAACTTCTTACCGAGTTTGTAATAACATGAGCAACACGATGGGTGCCACGTGTGTAGCAGGATCTGCTTAGCCTTCCGGAGAACCTGAGATCACCCCAAGTTATTGGTGGGGTTCGTATTGCTCAGTCGTTAGTTTTCTATGTTGTGTTTTGTGTTCTATCGTTTGTCTATTGGTCTTATTTAGCCATAGCGTTGTCTGTTTGTTTTCAACTAATAGTTTGAATGTTCTTCTAGTATCTTTCGTCCCTCTTTTAAAATATATACGGAGTATATATCTCACAGTTTATACAATATTTCAGGGCTTGTATTTCCTATCATGATTTCCTTGATAGAATGTTGCTGCTCACAAGAAAGCTATTAAACCTAGAGTTCCAAGTTGTGAAGTTGAAATCATCCCTTCGTAAGTTTCACAGACGCTTTCACGAAATGGTTGACCGTTATGGAATATCTGTTTCACAGATGATAACGGATATGTTCCTAATGTAGTAACTACAATCGTGTCCCCTTTTCCCGAATGTGACCTACCGAATTAGACTTATTATCGGGTTCTTACATACATGTGTACAATGAGGGATGCAACATGTGGAGCAGGATCTGCTTGATCTGCTTATCCTTCCGGAGCACCTGATATCAACCTCATTTTTTGGTGGGGTTCGTGTTGCTCAGTCTATAGTTTTATATGTTGTGATATATGTGCTTTTTGTGTCTGTTGGTTTTTTTTTCCTTTTTTAGCCATGGCGTTGTCAGTTTATATTCGACTTATTAGTTTGGATGTCCCTCTGGTATCTTTTGTTACGGATGGTATTATGGTTTAGTCCACTGATGTGTAATATCTGTGTCACATAAGCTTTTTGGATTTTTTGTTTTTTCAGTCCTCTTCGACTGATTTTGTTTAATTTTAGCTTTTGAGCAGTATAGATTCGAGCAACGCTAATGAGTCTTGTGTAGACGAAACGCGTGTCTGGTTTAACAAATTATTATTGTATTTGTATACAGCCACTTGGTCGATGCTGTTGCTTGTTGACGTATTGCGTATGGTCTGATATCTTTTATGAGTCTTTAACCAGAGGGATTAATCAGCTTGATTTGCGTATAAAAATATATCGTTACCTGCACCTTTTTCAAGAGAAGTATTATGTTTGCCTTTCAGCAGAGGTATGATTACACAGCCACATCAAGATGTAATGAGATGAGATGTAATGAGAGCACAAACTACGCTGCCCCTCTTTTTTGAAGAGTCGTTTTGTGTTTGTCATGAACAAATTTAAAAAAATCTCTTTGGAGGTTCCTTTTGTGCCAGGTTATTAACAATCTAACATGTCTGTACTATTCAATTGTATTCATCGATAATTGTTTTACAGCGGCTGCCTTAAGTTGAGTTCTTCGGTTCGTCAGAACGTAACAAATGATTTAGGTTTCCTCTTGAAGAATATTCATATTCTATTTGTATTTGGACGCTAAGCAAACCTCAATGAATTATGTTTCGTTACCTTTTACCCTTGAAAGCATCGAAGGTCAAAATTGGATATTATTTTTTAAATCAGATTTGATATTAGATCAGAAAGCGAACACATTTTTTTGTAATTGTAGTAATTAATCTCACGTTTCTCCAAAACTTTTAGATAATTATGAAATGGTTCAAAATAAACTAAAAGATCCTTGTATTATTTTGATTAAAAAAAGTTCAACTTAAATTATTGAATGATTCAACTGTTTGGTTTTGTCATTATTGTCATGCATTTTGGGTTTTTGTTGTTTTGTTTTGGTTTTTTTTCTTCAAATTTTATATGTATAAACTTTTTTTTCTCCATTTCAATACAAATGAAAACAAGATTTGAGAAACAACCTAAGTTCTGATGGTTTCCAATTGTCAACGGACTGAGATTAATACACGAGTTTGTTGTACATATCAACGGGTATTTTAACGAACTTTTCGTGTCGCGCAATTTTAATTGTAAAATGGTAAATATTTATCAAACAAAGAGGCTTCTGTTTTTTTTTTTTTTTATTATAGGTTTATAAAAAGTTTATATTAAAGGTTCATGTTGACTTTTAATCTTATAAGGTAAACAACCAATCGTATGTTCTACGTGTTTTTCTTTGGCCCTTTTTACCATTTGTTGTGCAGTAACCAGCACACTGTATACATCCAATGACCAAAGAAATATATATTTAAGTCTCATATAAATATCAATTTTGAAAGATTTCCTATTAGAACATAGTATAACATTGCGTGGTTAACTTTTATGATAATGTGATGTAGGGGACGTTAAAAAATGTATAATCTTGATTGTGGTTTCCAAAATGAAAATGTGAACTAAAGAATATTCTCAGAAATTTAATTCCTTTTGCAATTTCAAGGATATTGACCAACACCTATGAATATCCTTAAACGATAAAATTTAGGACAGACAATTATTTTAGAATCGTTGTATCCACTTTTTTGTTGTTTTACTGATATAGACTTACAGCATTACATAACTTGAGATTACCTTGGAACTGATCTAGTAAGCATATGAAGACTCCGAAACGAAAATTTCTGCAGCATTGTTTTTTAAATGGTAAAGAGCTAACTGCAAACCTCCAAAACAGTGTTGATGTTGCCTTTATATGCAATGCTTGGCCTTAACGCTTACAATAGCGACGTCTGTCACGTACCCACATATCCAATGCGTTTCTTAAAAAAGCACTTGAAGAATAGACTTAAGAAGATTTATAAAATTAAAGATTTACAAAATAGGATTATTATCGCTACATTTTCATTAACAACCGTGCACAACTGATCCGCATGGAGTACATACATTTGTTGTATTCTGACAGAAGGACGACTTTGAATCAAAGACTAGTTCAGAATCACAGTATTTAAGCGTGGTGCTTCCATTTAAACAAGTGTAGTAGATATCGCACTTCTGAACATGTTCACTTTCATAGTTACCATTTGGTCGACTGGAGCAGTCGATTGCATATCCTACCGGCCAATAGGATTCTGGTATTTCGAATAGGTCTATGCATTTCCCATTGTAAGGTGCCATGTTTGTTGGGCAAGGATTTTGACCACTATAGATATTTCTTTCATCTTGACATTCAAAATACTCCCCTCCAAGCGGCGAAATATATGTATTTCTGTGTATTCCGTCAGCAAATCCAACACAGTCAGGGGTTACATATTTGCAGAAATTGGATGCACCTAACATGCTTAAGTACAAAAAGCTAAATGCAAGGTAGTCACCTACAAATTTACCAATCATAAATTAATATTTTATTTCTTTCAAATAAAACAATTGGCTAATGGACTTCATTTTTTTCAATATTCATGTTATTGGGTGCTGTGTAATTACTTTCTCTGACCGTATTATCCATGCAATCAATGTAGTTACTAATGAATCGTATGAGTTATTAAATGGTGAATTCAGCAATTGCTTTAGGATAGCACGGACTAGCTATTACGTTCTCAGTAAAAACCATACCAAATTGCAAGAAAACCAACATTATAGCCTTACCGAATATTCACAAACAAAATGAGAAACGGAATGGTCATGAAAGTCCGGACTGTTGATGATAAATTCAGATTTTTATTGTTAAAACGCATGTTATCAACAGGCTTTTTCTTTCTTCGTTTTGTAAAAATTGGTGTAAACGGGACAAGTCTGATCAAAATCTCTTGATTCTTATTTAAATTAATGTATGAATGTCATCTATCAAGGAACTTATCATAATCTTCTGTAATAAGATATATGAAAATAGTGGAATTAACTATTTTTGGAGTGTAAAAAATTCTTTTGATGTTTTAGATAAATTACGTGCTTTTGATGGTCCTTTTGGTTCTGCTGACATTTTTGGCTTTTCAACTATTTACACTACACTTCCACACAATCTTATCAAACAAAAGCTTTCCTATTTAATTAAATGGTCGTTTGGAAAATCTGAATAGAAATATATTTGCTGCTACTCATTTCAAGCCTTCTTCTCTAATGAGAAATGTAAATATGCTAGATATACCTACTGGAAGTATGATGAGATGATTGAAGCTGTTAATCTCCTTGACAATATTTATGTACGTTTCGGCAACAAAGTTTATCGACAGGTTGTAGGTATTCCTATGGGCACTAATTGCGCCCTTTTAATAGCAGACTTGTTTTGTACTGTTGTGAATCACAGTTTATGACCAACCTCAGTAAAGAACCGGTTTAATTGCATTTAATTGATAAACACTTACCGCTATCTTGATGATATTTTTTCGTTAAATAATCAAGAATGTGCTAAATATACTGCCGAAATTAACCCAAAGGAACTTACTTTAAATAAATCAAATGTAAACGGTAATAACTGTCCTTTTAGATATTTAGATATTTCAGTTTTACACGGGAAACTCCACACTAAAATTTACGACAAAATGGACGATTTTTCGATCACTATTGTTAAAGTTTCTGTTTTGAATGGTAATGTTCCTTTGGCACCATCGTATGGTGTTTATACTTCACAACTCAATCGCTATTCCCGTGTCTGTTTTGACGTTTTTGATTTTAAGGAGCATAATCTATGTATTACTTGTGAATTATTAAGTCAGGGATTTCGTTACCACAAATTTCTTAAAACCTTTACTAAATTCTTCCATAGATATACAGATTTGGTTTTGAAGTTTGGTTGTACCTGTAGAAAACTTATTTCAAACGGGATAGCACATACCATTTTTACTGAGATGTTTGTTTACCGAACCCGGAAATTTAGAAACGATCCTAGTAAACTTATCGATCTGTAAAATAAACGTATTCTAAAAGGTTACCAATTCAACACTGTAATTAGATCTTTGAACATTATTTTTATTGGTATTAATATTTATCTTGTTATCAGTAAATTAAAAGCAAACTAAATATTACTGTTATATACATATGCACATTCATGGATCTACAATCTTTCGAGACCTGGATCATGGCATTGCACAAGGTCATGTTTTCTCTGACTGCTTATGACATATATACACTAAATCCATTGGATGCTGGATGTGTACTAATTGATAATTAAGTCTTAGATGGTTGATTTTTTAATTTGTTGTTATTTGCTTTGAACTAGCTGTCAGTGACAGCGAGTAATCTCATATCTATACTTAGTGTCGTTTTGTTGTTGGGATGTACTAGTTCCCGGCCATGTCCACTTTGGGTTTTTATTTGTTAGATGTAGTTCTATTTGTATCCATCTGATGATGTAAGCCTTTTTTAATTGATTTTTATAGTTAGTTCTTATGTTGTACTGTTACACCACTGTCCCAGGTTAGGGGAGGGTTGGGATCCCGCTAACATGTTTAAACCTTCCACATTCTGTAGTATGTGTTAGGAGCCTGTAATTCAGTGGTTGTCTTTGTTGCTGTGTTACATATTTGTTTTTCGTTCATTTTTTTGTACATTAATAAGGCCTTTAGTTTTCTCATTTGAATTGTTTTATATTTGTCATTTCGGGGCCTTTTATAGCTGACTATGCAGTATGTATTATTTTCATTGTTGAAGGCCGTACGGTGACCTATAGTTGTTAAATTCTGTGTCATTTGGTCTCTTGTGAAGCATTGTCTCATTGGCAATCATACCACATCTTCTTTGTAATATTTTGTGAATCGTTTCAGTCTACTCCAAAAAAGAAATCCACTCTTTATGATCATTGTTTATTTTATTTGTGTACCGTAATTCAGTGGTGTTTCATCGACATTTATCCTTAATTTCAATTAGTTCATATATACTTACATTTATTTTTTGTTTCATATCTAGACCCACATCTCACGTCTGTATAATTTTGACAGGACATATTGGTTGAGAAAAGTTCAGGGTAAAGACATTCATGCAGATAGGCAGGTCTCGGAATTTGGGGAGTGTTAGTTATGTTCATTGTTGGAAGGGGAGACACCTCTTGACTGCAGTTATAGTACAGCTGACATGTGTTTGGATGTGGTATAAGTGTGTTAGCGTCGAATTTGCATGTTTGGTTTACATCTACAAAATAATATAAAAGTCTGGTGAATATAGTTATGAAACTAATGTGACCACTTTTTCTCTCTTTCTGTATATCATAAAATCAATTCACTATTCTCATTTTATTTAATTAATGTGGTTAAGTGCGAAAACCAAACAAACACTTATGTTCAAAAATACACAATACAAATGAGTATCGTTTTAACTTATGTACTGCTCTATCCTTTGTTATTTAGATTATCTTTTTTTATTTGACAATAAAGAGAAATTAGTGATTTAAAAGTTGAATCAACTATGAATAAGATCTGGTATGAGTGTCTCCATCTAAGTCACAATGTGTAAAAAGTAAACAATTATAGGTCAAAGTACGGCCTTCAGCACGGAGCCTTGGTTCATATCGAACAGCAAGCTATAAAGAGCCCCAACATGACTATTGATAACCAATTCAAACAGAAAAACTAACGGTCTAATCTATATAAAAAACGAGAAACGAGAAACACGTGTGAACCACATCAACAAACGACAACCATTGAATAACAGGTTCCTGGCTTAGGACCGGTGCATACAAATGCAGCGGGTTTAAACGTTTTAAGAGGTGCCATCCTGTATCCTAACCTTAAAAAGTAGTGTTACACAATAACATAAAAAGCAGACTATGAAATATCAATTGAAATGGCTTTACTCGATCAAAAAAACATATAAACTATAACAGTTTAGCATTCACTGAACGAATAAGTTTGATCTATGACACAATATCATTACAATATTGATAAAATAAAGTTGTAGAACAATGTCAAAAAGACAACTCTAACCTGGGACAAAATGGCGTTACATGAAATAACGTACACAGGTAAATTTGTTAGGAGTACGGAAATATTTCTCAAAATAAATAGAAAGAGTAACGAAGTGAGTAAAGAAGTGAAAATGTATCGTCATTATAAATACTTAACACCAAATAATTAAACATTGAATAACAAAAAGGCATTACAAATTGTGTCAACAAGTCAAATTTACTAGTAATCGAAAGTACTAATTGAGAGTACTCGCAGTTACTGAAAGATAGTTAAAAGCCAAAAATATTTAATAATGAAAAAAAAAAATCATGCATCAGAGACTAAAATACATGGATCACTTTTCACTTAAACATTTTTAGCTAAATTAAAACGTCTCGATAAAATAACATTACAATATCCATTGATTGTGAATATATTTATTGATAAATGTGTATTTGTGTTAAATTCAAATTTTAACAAACCTATTTCACATTTTGATCCAGCAAAGCCATCGTTACACGAACACGCACCATTGACGCAAGTTCCTCCATTCTCACACGGTTTATGTGAAAATGACACTAAAACCAGAAGAGAACATTGTTCATTAAATTTTTTTGAGCGTTTTTGTAAGAAAAGACGATTTTACCATGTTAGACGTTCAAATCGTAGTTAACCAAATACAAAATAAGAAAGCAACACGACCTTTGAGAATATTTTTTTAATGAACCATATTTCTTATATTTTTACCATTAAAATTGAATGCTGTCTTTTTAATTCATACGAAATAAAAGCAAGTGTCCTTCACATTTTGCAAAAAGTGTAGCACTTACAGTTCTTTCAAAAACATACATACATGCCTCATATCTAGAAATACATCTAGAAAATGACAATGAGGGTCGGTTAAAAACAAAACTTCACGACAAAAGAGATGATTTCAGCTTCCCAATTGTAAACTTTCTATTTCTATGTAGCAACATTCCAGCAGCGCCTGCATACGTAATATATATATATCAATATAATTGCTACGATATTCCACGGCTTGTATTTCCTATCATGATTTCCTTGATAGAGGGTTGCTGCTCACAAGGAAGCTATCAAACCATAAGTTCAAAATGGTGAAATTGAAGTCATCTCTTCGTTAATCGCCATCACGAGCTGAATGACCTTTATGGAATATCCGTTTCACAGATGATAACGGATATGTTCCTAATGTCGTAATTACAATCCTGTCCCCTTTTCACGAAATTGACCTACCGAATTAGATTTATAACCGGGTTTGTACTAACATGAACTACACGACAGATTCCTCACGTGGAGCAGGATCTGCTTACCGTTCCGGGGCAACTGAGATCACCCCCAGATTTTGGTGGGGTACGTGTTTCTTAGTCTTTAGTTTTCTATGTTGTGTTTTGAGTACCTTTGTTTGTCTGTTCGTCTTTTTTTTTAGCCATGGCGTTGTCAGTTTATTTTCAACTTATGAGTTTGAATGGCCCTCAGGTATCTTCTGCCTCTCTTTAACAATATAAAAATTTGCTATTTCTTAAAACATAAATAAAGGCAACAGTAGTCTACCGCTGTTCGAAATTGATAAATCGATTGAAAAAAAAACAAATCCGGGTTACAAACTAAAACTGAGGGAAAAACATCAAATATAAGAGGAGAACAACGACACAGCAGAAACACGGCATTTAAATGTAACACACACAGAAACGAACTATAATATAACAATGGCCATTTTCCTAACTTGGTACAGGACATTTTAAGAAAAAAAAAATAACATTTTGCACGAAGTTCTCAACGTGTGAAAATATAGTTGATCTATTAGGTTAGCACAGCTTATAGGTCTATCATTTTATGTTGCTTTCATACTAGTAGGTTGTTTTCCTTCAAATTGGTGATCTATGACGGAATGTATGTCAGCCAATAACAGATTAGAACTGATATGATTTTTTAAAAACGTCTGAAAATACAAGTTTTTCAAAGCCATTTTGTAAGTATGGAGCGGTCTTTTAAACAAAAATTGAATCATAGGTTCAAAAAAGGCAACATAATGTAGAAAAATACTAAAGGCTAACAAGAGCCTGTGTCGCTCACCTGTATTTACTGATGCTTTTGAAATCATGTAAAATAAGGTTAAAATCATAATTAATAGTATTAGATATTAGATATTATAATGATATACAAGATAATAACAAAAAACTGCAAAATTTTGGTAAAATTACTAACTCAGGGGCAGCAACCCAACAACGGGTTGTCGGATTCGTCTGAAAATTTCAGGGCAGATAAATCTAAATCTGATGAACATTTTTGCCACCTGTCAGATTTGCTCTAAATGCTTTAGTTTCAGAGATATATACCAAAAACTGCATTTTACCCCTGTGTTCTATTTTTAACCAAGTCGGCCATGATGGTTGGAAGGCAGGGTCATCGGACAATTTTTTTAAACTAGGCACACTAATAATGATTATGGCCAAGTATGGTTAAATTTGTCTCAGTAGTTTCAGAGAAGAAGATTTTTGTAAAAGATTACAAAAATGTACAAAAAATTGTTAAAAATTGACTATTAAGGGCAATAACTCCTGAAGGGATCGACCGACAATTTTGGTCATGACAACTTATTTGTAGATCTTACTTTGCTGAACATTACTGCTGTTTACAGTTTATCTCTATCTATAAAGAGATATCTATATATCGTCATATTCGATAATATCCAAAAACTGCAAAATTTCCTTAAAATTACCAATCAGGGGCAGCAACCCAACAACAGGTTGTCAGATTTGTCTGAAAATTTTAGGGCAGATAGATCTTGATCTGATTAACAATTTTACCCCGTCAGATATGCTGTAAATGCTTTGGTTTTAGAGTTATAAGCCAAAATCTACATTTTTACCTTATGTTCTATTTCTAGCCATGGTGGCCATCTTGGTTGGTTGGCGGGATGGCCGGACACATTTTTTAAACTAGATACCCTAATAATGATTGTGGTCAAGTTTGGTCAAATTTGGCCCAGTAGTTTCAGAGGAGAAGATTTTTTGTAAAAGTTTACGGACGACGGACGCAGGACGTCGGACGACGGACGACGGACGCCAAGTGATGGGAATAGCCCACTTGGCCCTGTGGGCCAGGTGAGCTAAAAAGGACATATACCATTTATCAAAACACTACATAGAATTCTAATTATCTAGCCCCAAGAACCCCACCAAAACCGTTGATAGAATAACGTGCCACGTAAGCGTCCGCAGTTCTGCTACTCCTGTAAACTCTTTTAACATTATACATTTTATGCATGAAAAAATGTGTAAATCGCAAATATGAAAGTACATGTATCCTTCATATTAAGTTTTATTTGTCAAATTATCATAAAAAGACCAAAATAAAAGTTACCGTTTGACACAATTTCAGTTACCAGCAGAATAAGAGATAGCTATCCAGCATTAATATAAAAAGTTAAAAGCACAAAAACAGGGAATACTATTTATTAGACAAAAAACACTCATCGTTTGGTACAAAGATGATATAATTTTAAATAACGGGTAGTGTACATTAGCAATGATGGTATTGTAAAGACAGTTGGAAAGACACATTTCAGAAATGAAAACAAGTTGTATAACACATTAAAAATAAAAAATAAAAAGGGTCATCCGTGCCTCCTAGCATCTGTGGTCTATTCCAGACAGTTTGGCGTTCGGTCGGGAAAAATCACTGACTAAACCAAAATTTATTGACAATGTCTCAGAAAAATATAAAAGGGAAATATTGATTTGTTAATTATGGGGACTTATGTCATGTTAATGTTAAAAATATACCTGGACAAGATACGTCTTCTGTGTTGAAAGCACCTGGTAAATATAAAAGATAATAATATTAAAATTCCTATAAATGTCGTGATACCGAAGCGCTTTTCTGGATTAACCTTCATCAAATAACTGGACAACGCCATATCAAGGTAAAGAGGTTAGGGCAATTTCCGCTTTTTCTGAATTTACCTTCACCAAAAACTCTTGAACCCTAACATTTAAAAGTCAAGGATCTATGAATACCAGAATGCGCAAAAACCTATATGAACAAGTTCACCTTTGCCAGTAGATAGGGCAACCTAAGTTTTTCAATCATGAATAAATCTATCAACGAAATATTTTTTGTAATAAATCATATCAATACTGAAACACGAAAATGACTAATTGGCTGATGATACCCATGGGCAATAACAGTTTACCAGCGTCGG